CCAAAATTTACCAAAATTCTCGACTTCAATGGCGGCTAGAATTTGGGTTAATATTTCATTCATTTTCTTTGACATTCATTTTCTTGTCATGCTTCCATCGCCTGCAGTAGCAAAAAGAGCAGATAAAGAGCACGTCTTGACTTTGGATCACTCCAACTTCTCTGAGATTGTTTCTCAACACGATTTCATCGTGGTTGAGTTCTATGCTCCTTGGTATATATATTTTATTTTGCTTATTTCATTGAATCAAGATAACAAATAATTGTTGTTGTACGTTTTGCATTTCTTATTGGATGGTTCCTCACATATGTTTCCCTAAACATCTTTACCATATATCGTTGCTTTCATATGCGCTCACAAAATTTGTTGAGGAGTACAAACCAATTAATCAGCACGATGAATGATTTACATATGTTTTATTTAGAATATGAATATCTTTTTTTCTGAGGAGACATTTGTCTAGTGTTTAAGATTAAAATTTTAGAAATTAAAGGTTTTGATTTTAAATCACCCTACCTCTCTCATCGTTTCTTAAATCTCAACCCCTCCCTCTTAAAAGATATGAACATTATTAACGCTTTACTATTTTTTTCATATGTGCTCTATAAAATATTCAAGGGAAAATGATCGGTTTCATCCTTCACATTTCACAAAAATATTCTTTTCGTCCCTCACTTTTGAAATGAAGCAATTTCATCCTTGACATTTAAAAACTGAAATTATTACATCCCTAAACCTAAATTTCAGTCTGAATCAAACCACCGATCAACCTGATTACAAATTTTGGGGGTGTAATTGGAAGATCATTTTGTTAACTCAACTTGATATTCATGTGAAATTTAATGAACTTAAAAAGAAAAAAGAAAAAATTATAACAAAAAAAAGAAAGATTAATCTTTTCTACATTATCATTGTATACACTGACGGTTTTATGTACCGCCATATCATTTTAATTTAAATTTAAACACCAAATTTTATATTTATGATACACATTTAGATTCGCAAGGGGATATACTAATGGTGCATGAAAAGATTTATCAAAAAAAAAAATTCTACTATTCCAAGACAAAGAATGGCCTTTTATGTTATCATATTTATTTTTTTGGTTTAATAAATGTCATGTGAATATGATGAAGTTGACCGAATGTTTTATCAATTCTATTTTCAAAATTTATTGCTGGTTATTAGATGGTTTGATTGAAAATTAGGTTCAGGGATGTAATCGTTTTAATTTTTAAATGTCAAGGATGAATTTGCTTCATTTTAAAAGTGAGGGACGAAAAGAATATTTTTGCGAAATGTAAGGGATGAAATAGGTCATTTTCCCAATATTCAAAGAAGATGGAGTGCCATTAACGATAATTCAAATGCAATTAACAATGCTTTATAGTAAATTCAGTCTTGCTATTGTACATTTGCTGTAAAATGTTGTGCTTTGCTCTGGCGGATATTCTATAGCGTCTGGCAATCTCATTAAAGTGCTTAGCTTGTCTCCGCTTATTTTTTTCTTTTTCATTTTCTTTTTTGTCTTTTGGTTTTCGTTTTCCATTTGTGGTTTCAGTAACTTCTCATTGGTTTGGGATAACATATGATGCTATGTTAATTATCTTTTGAGGTTCTTTCTGTTCAGTAATTTAGTTCTTTTCGTTTGGGAAATGTGACCCCCTTTTTGTTTAATTTTTCACTTTACTCTTACATTATATTTCTCTCATTTGTTACTCAACAGCAGTGGGCATTGTAAGAACCTTGCCCCGGAGGTACTAAATTTCATTTGATGTCATTCTTTCTTGGTTGAAACGTTTAAAAAAAAAAAGAAAAAAGTTATGAACCATTACTAAATACGTTCATATGTATTTATTTTTGTTTAATTTGTTGCCTTACAATTTGAAATTGTTTCTTTGGTGTATAGTCTGAAAAAGCTTCTACTATTCTCAGTAGTAATGACCCTCCAGTCATGCTGGCGAAAGTAGATGCAAGCGATGAAGCAAACAGAGGACTTGCAACTGATTACAAGATCCAAGGTTTCCCCACTATTAAGATATTAAGGAATGGAGGGAAAACTATCCAAGAATACAATGGTCCAGAGAAACTGATGGTATAGTTGCATATTTGAAAAAACAAGTCGGTCCTGCATCTGTTCAAAGCAAATCTGAGGAAGATGCTGGCATTCTTATTGATGAACAGAAAATTTTTATTGTTAGTACTTCTTAGTATCCTTTGTATTGCACAGTTCTTAGATGATTATACAATACTGCTGTAGAAGATAAAGGAAAAATTGGATAACATGGCTTGCCACATTTTAAGCATATTCATCAATCAGAACTTCATATAAAGTGCATTTTATACCTTCTCTTCCCCTGTCATTGACTGTCCAGACCCACGATACCCTTATCCTTGAAAGGTGCAGGTCTTGCTTTTGACTAAAGAAAAGCAACGGTTATAGGGATACTCTCCTGGAACTGGAATGCTTTTTCTCAAAGGTAAGCCAATTCTGGATGCTTTGCTAGTAGCCAAAGGATGAACCTATTGAAGAATTATTAGCCAAGAAGGTGATCTATGTAAATTGGACATTGGAAAAGCTTTCGATCATGTTAGAGTTTTTCTTGTACCTGAAAAATAGGATGGGATTCCAGACAAATGGTTCAAATGGATAAAATTCCACATCTCAATACCAATTCTTTATACTTTTAAATGGCTCCTCTGTAGGCTTGTCTGTAGCCTGACCTAAGGCAAGGAGACTTTTTATCTCCTTTCCTTTTGATAAATCACCATAAGAGCATTGAACAGGGTCATCATGAAAATGGAGTCCATGAGATAATTGAATGTTTCCCTGTTGTAGTGATGGAAAGGAGTTGGCAGGATATTTTAAACTTTTAGCATATGGTACTGTACTGCATTGTGAATTAAGAACTTGCTAGATAAGAGTGATTAGATGTGTAATGTGTTCTGCACCTTTATGCATTTTGTTGCTGATTTTGGAGTTTAGGAATGACAAGCTGTCAGTCCCGCATAGGCGGATAGGTGCAAATCAGTTCATTGGAACAGCATTTACTTTTTGATTCAGGAATATTGACCAAGAGATTCCTTGTGATTTGTTGATTTTATCGGCCAAGCATGTAGATCTCCCGGTAGATAGGTTTTCTTTTGTAATTCTGGTTGCACCTCTTGGTGCCTTTTGATATGTTTTCTACCATCGAAACAAATACTACAAAATAAAGCAAAAGGTCAACACCATTGAATAGGGGAAAACAGAAGGATTAATGACTACAACTATATTTTAATTATTCTTCCTTCATTTTTATTTTTATTTTTTTTTATTTTGTATTTCTTTTCCTTGTCCCCTTACCCTTTCTCCTGCTTTCTCTTGATCTCCTCCAGTCTAAGACCTTCTAACCATACTTCCCACCTATCCCTCTCTTCCCCAGCACCACAAGCTTTACTTCCTCCATTTTCCTACAGTGTTGCTCCCCCTTTCGTCATTTGCAACAACACCTCCCCCTTTTTCAACTTAGATCTGAGGCCAAAGTCCTTATACCACTGTCCCATCCTCATCTCATCTATTCTGATTGAAGCATTACTAACTTGTTACTGCCCCCTGCTTTGCCCTTCCAACCAGACTTGCAAATGGTATTCTGTTATTCTGTTCAAGAGTTGCCAATGCCTGCTATTGTTTGAATTTTTTTGAATGGCCTAATCAGAAATTTCTTGAGATTTATAATCCATGTCAGGTAACAACTATTTGGATTAGAAATTTGATTTCTACTTTATTATTATTTGAGTTCTAGCTTGATCTTCATCTTTTTGGTTTGAGTTGAGTTTTGTGTATTTGGCTATTTTGAGGTTGATTGTCAAAGCTGTGGTGTTTCAATTTTGTCTAGGATAGTTTGACATCAAAAATATGAAATTTTACTTTTATTTGGTGGTGGAGATGGTGGTGATATTGGAGGAAGGACTGTTTGTGCAAAGTGTTGCTTTTTCTTTATTATTTTTGTTAGAGTGAGCATAGGATTGGATATACTGCAAAATTGGATTGCTTTGATGTAGATACTGCAAAGATATGCTCTGGTGGCATGCGGCAATGACCGGCAAAAGGAGCTCATGCCCAACATGCTTGCACCTATACTATTGTGAGTGGTTTTGGGAAATGAAGAGGAAGAAGAAGAAGAAGGGACAAAGAGAAGAGAAACAGAAATGAACAAAAGTTAAAACTTGTTCAAAGCATACAGTTTCCAAGTTTTATTCTATAAGTTAAATAATAACAGAAAATCCAATCATTACCCTTTAGTCAAATATTAACATTAACATTTTTGAGGTTAATGTCTTAAAATGATAGAAATCATTTAATTTTGACGGCTCAACCATGAGGTGTAGAATAAATATTTCTCTAATAAATAATCAATTGTAAAATTAGAGGTAATTGGATGAACAAAAACATAGATGGAATGGAGAAAGAGGTATTGTGTAGTTGACCCATGATTGCTTTTTTTCTTTTTTTAATAGCACTTACAGCCCTTGGTTTAGTGGAATGAAGAAAGATGATTTGCCTAGCTGAGCAATGAGGTCTGGGCTATTGTAATTGATTGAGTTGAGTTGGAGTAATTAAACTCATCATTCTTTGGTGTTTATGCATCCGAAAAAATAAACCTGACCTTGAAAAAAAGGTGCCTTATGTAGTCATGATGTGTGGTTACTACTGACATGTTTCCTGGGAGTCTAATAATGATTACTTTTCATTTTAGCTTTGTCTTTCTTGGATCTTGCTATATTTAAACTGTTTTTCAATACATAACTGTGCCTAAACTTTTTTAATGTTTTATGTTGTCTGTTTAAGTATTTAATCTTTATGTTTTTTTCTGTCTGCAAATATGCAAATAACATTCTTTTACTTCCTTAGTGCCAGTTCTTTTTTTCTTTTTTTTTTGTTGGGGTGGGGGTCGGGGAGGGCTTGTTGAGGTATGCCTAACCATATGCTGATATTTTTGTATTTGTGATTGTAGCGATGGGATACCTAGTAGAGGAGCTCAATGTGAAGAATTAATGAGGTACACTTCTCTATGCATATTCTAAGTTCATGTGTTTGGGGTATATATTTTTGGGTAGAAGAGAACAGGGAAAATTACATGCAGAGCCCAAATGCAAACTCTTTAAATTTAGGATTTTTTTTTTTAACTCACTGAGGTTTGAATGGAACTGTTAAAAGCTTTGGGCTGAGATGATCCAACTGTCTATTACCGACCTGAACGCACTAACTGGCTTGCTTTCGGTTTGACTTCTAACTCAAATTTGGTTCCATGTTTGCAATTTAAGTTGGGATGCTTCCTGGCAGAAGGATCTTGAGATCAAACTTTGCTTCTACTGATTATAATTTTTGTGTTTGTTGTCGCATTTTAAAGGCATTTAGCTTGCTACCTGAGTTTTTTTTTTTTTTTTTCCATTCTTTCTTTCTTTGCTTTCTTCTCTGTGACTCCACTTAAGGTTTTTTTCCATACGCATCTAGTTCTGAGTTACATCATGTGAAACGGGCATGCCTTTTTTCCAAAATTGATGTGGTTTATCAAGAGTTTCTATTGCCTATATTGACTTCAAAATCCCAGCCTCCAAAGACAATATTGCTGATTCTTCAATTCTTTGTGTAAATTAGAGATGCCAAACTACTAGCTCCATTCAGCCTCTGCAAGTCACCTTAAAGAAACTGAAGACTTGTAAACTACAGTGTTACTTTTGACAAATATAGCCTCCTTGAACACTGCAATTGATTGATCAACTTGTGAGCATTCATGAGTGATAACATGGCCTCCGTCCCTTGACTAAATTTTGAGTTGCTCATTTCTGCTTCTGTTTTTGTAACAAGTCATTGAAATAAAATGACATCTGAATAATGTAAACAGGTTCATGTAACATTGATTCCCTGAAATAGGAATAAAATAGCAACTAAGATAAGGGTTGAAGGCGGGGGATCCAATAACAGCTACAAGATTTTCTAGTGAGCAAAAGTTATAGAAGTTACTCTTGGTATTTCTTCTTGTTGCTTCAGCAATTGTTACCTTGCATAGAAAGTAGTTCTTGGTGAGCTTGCTGTGGAACGAATCATAAGAGTGATTTTTATGAGTTTTAAATTATCTGCAAAAAAACCGTTAAGCTTTGGTTTCAATATGAGTTTGTTATGGCATCACTTAATTGTCACTCGTGATAAAGCAGCTTCACAGTACCATATGACCTGAGCTTGGAGGGGCGCAATGAACCATGGGCAAAGTCATTTTTGCTCCGTATGCAGGCAAAATTGGAAACATGCAAGCAAGTTTGGGGATCTTTGAAAATGGAGGTCAGTGGTTGTTATCCACAAGCAATTGTTTTGTAATAATTTCCTACTATGCCATCCAAAACAAATACAGAAGACAAAATTCTTTAGCAAGTACAGGTAGTGTTATCGGGTTTTGGAATTTTTAACTCAATATGATTAGAGTACTCAATTAAGGTTCTTAAATAAGTGTCAACTTTGCTGCAGTTTGGGTAAGAACTGCATTTGAACAAGTGTAAATGTGCACTTAATTGATGTACGGTGAATTCGGCATTGCATCTGTTCGTGTGTAGTCTGATGCACAATACTCCTATAGAGCGTATGCATTCTTTCACATTGATATTTCCCCCAAGTAGAATGAAATCTCTTTGATGTCAATCAGATTGTTTAGATTTAATGTGGTCTCAGATTGAAATTGTTCTCGATTTGGTATTTACGAAGTGTTCGTTTGCATATGGCACCAGCGTTTAGTTTGTTACCCCCCTTGAGGCATCCAGCACATGATGGCCGCAGATATGCTGAAGTTCTAGCCGAGACCCGAGCACTTTGCTCCTCAGTATACAAATACGAGACTTGAGTACCTCAATGTACAACGATTGCACTAAATCTTTGACAAAGCATCGATAGAAGCTAGTAGGTTCATGGAAGCTTCGTACATCACTAACCGACTTTGGAGTATGTCATTCTTGTATGCCTTTGACCTTTTCTTCATCTACATAAATGCTCTGCTCACTAACAACATATCCTAGAAATACAAGATAATTAGCGCAAAAAATGCACTTCTTGAGATTAACAAATAGCCTTCGAAGTACCTAAAAAATAGTCCCTAAATATTCAAGCTATTGAGCAAAACTCTTGCTATAGATCAAGATATCATTAAAATAAACAAGTATAAATTTTTCCAAAAAAGGTTGCAAAATATGGTTCATTAGTCTCATGAAAATACTAGGTGTATTAGTAAGTCTAAATGGCATAACTAACCATTCATATAAATCATGTTTTGTCTTAAAAACTATTTTTCTCTCATCTCCCTCTCTCATCCTAATTTGGTGAATGCCATTTTTATGGTTAATTTTAGTAAAAATGACTGAATCATGCAATTCATCTAACATAATTTACCGTTATCGTATTTACAATCCTACAATTGGTGCACATTCTCTATGTTCCATCCTTCTTTGGCACTGAAATGACTAGAACAGCACATGAACTTAAACTCTCACGAGCCCATCCCTTTCTCAACAGCTTATCTACTTATCTTTGCAACTCCTTGATCTCCTCTAGACCCATGCTATAGGCTGATTTGTTTGGTAATGGTGCGTCCGGAACCAAATCAATTTGATGCTTGATGCTTCTCACAGGTGGCAGTCTATTAGGGATCTCCTCAGGAAATACATCTTGAAATTCTTGCAAAAGAGATGAAACACTAGAAGGCAAAGAGTTATCAAGTTCATTAGAAATAACCAACACGTTTTCGTACAAGAGTACAAATAGGGGCCGATTAGAAATCAAAACTCGCTTGATATCTTTGGCTTTTGCAATTAAGCTTTGTTTCCTTTCTTTTTTTCCTCTCTTGGCCGACTCTCCAATTGCCTTTTCCCCCTCAACTAATTTGGTCACTCTCTCTTGCTTTTGTGTCTCACTTTTCTTTCGATTTTTTCTCTCACTTTCCCTCTGAAGTCTCAGTTGATCCTCATACACTTGTCTAGGAGCAAGTGGTACAAAAGTGATTTTCCTATTACAATGCATAAAAGTATACTACTTAGCATGTCCATCATATTTATCAAACTGCCATGGACAACCCAAGAAAACATGACTAGCTTGCATTGGTACTACATCATATAAAACTCCATCTTTGATTAACCTTTATTTTATCCATTCTTAGTTAGGTTTTAGGTTAATTTTTGGTGTGTTTTAAATTAAAATGGAAGAATTGAGTTCTTTTATAAGTTACTTTTCATACAAATAGCATTTCTTCATCAAAACATGTAAAAGTGTGGGCTAATATGCAAAATTGTGTTGTTTTGTAGGTTTCGGTATCATAGGAAAAGATTCAAGTCAAAAGGAGTTTTACAGTTTTAACACACTTTGGCATTTTGGCTATATCTTGAGTTACAAGTATCGGATTGAAATGATTCTTGACCCATGTTAAAGCTAATACATAGCTCTACAATTCATATGAAGACATTGAAATCCAGTCTGTTGAGTTTCCTGATCAAAAAGTATAAATACAATCGACAAAATTTATGTCAAAAGCTGAAATAAAGCATTTAACAGTCAAGAGTATTTTGGTCATTACTCAGCCTACAGAGATCCAAATGAGATGATTCTTGATGCATTGCAAAGTTAACTCAAAGAGCTATAACTTTTATGTGTGGTGCATGAGATAATACGGCCTCCATCATCAAGAAAATTGTAATTGAAATTGGACCAAAAACAAAGCAAAGTTGAGTTTTGAGCTGAATGTGCAGAACTGAAGACAAAGAAGATCCAAGAGGCAGATCCAAGAGGCATACACCTCACAGATCTCTGAAACAAAGCTGCAACTTGTTCTGTAACTTGCACTCTGTTCACATAAACTTTTGACCAATTCCTCTGTAAGAAAAATGGTTGGAACTAGCTAAATTTGAGTTGGAGAAGAGAAAAACAACTTTGTGACTACATTATGAGAATATCTTCTCTTCCAAAACATCTATAAATACCCTTTCAATCTCATTCATTTGAGCATCATGTTAGCAAGATATAGCACCTTATTGTGTGAAGTAGAGTAGAGTAGAAGTAAAAATAAAAATATTTTTAGCTTTACTTTCATATTGTAAGTTTCAAAATTAGAAGGTGAAAACACTCTTGTATCAAGGTTATTTGAGAGATCAACTTGTGAAGGAATCCAAGGATTCAAGTTTCAAGACATTGAATAAGAATTTTTCTTCCCAACTTTGTCTCTTGTTCTTATTTGTCATGCTTTGTTACAAGTTTGTTTCATACTTAAATGTTCTTAATATGATGTCTAGCTAAACTTTTTCATATCCTAGAGTGAAGATGAACTTGTTATAATTTTCATTTGAAATAGTTAGGGAATGATTGTGCTTTTTTATGATTTGTTAGTTTGAAAACTTATACTTATGCTTTATAGTTGTTTGGCTATCAATTATGAATAATTTGATAATTGTTGAGCAATGACACAAGACACAAACAATGAAACGAAAAGGGATATAACTTTGATACCTTCAACTAGCTCTGATGCCAGCTAATACGATCTACTCCCTATTTCAGATGTAACCCATAACACACAAGCCACAGTATCTAGAATGGAGTATTAACATTTGAGTAGTGGAAATCAAAGTGAACTTGGACCGCACAAGAACATATATATTGATAGACGATGCCACAATCAAGGTGACTACTTGATTGATGAATCAATGAGTACTTTATGAACCACTCTAAGATGTTCAAAAGTAACTTTCACAAGTCAAAAGAATTATTTCTCTCAAGAAACAGTTTACTGGAAAATTCTCAGAGTCGTTACATAATGCTTCAAAGATTCGGCTATTTATAGCCAAGTTACAAAACAAAATGGGCCTAGACTAAACAACTTAACTAACTAACTAATGAACTAATTAAGGCCTAACTTAATCTAAAGCTGGCTGATTTTATTCTCCTAACCAAATGGCTCAAAGAATTAAGCAACTAAAAGAGATCTAACTTACATGCAAGCTGGCCCAAATTTATTCCATACAAATGACTAAACTAATCTCATGAAAACTAAGTGAAAAATTACTCAAAATAGCAAACAACTCGATCTACTCCTTGATTTCATGACCTAGGGTTTGTGGCAAATCCTTCATCAATATCTTCAATGTGAATCAAAGTTTTGGTTGGTTGATGTTGATTCTCCAACTCGACCCCTTCAATATACTTATAAGCACCTTCTTGCTATTGAACAACTCGAATGAATGCTTGAAATGAGTCTTTAAGCTTTTTAGCTTGAGCTATTGAGATTGGACCAATGGGAACCTTTATTTTATCAAAACTTGAAACTTGAACATCACAGGCATCTTGAGCTCCCATATCATAATATATTTTGTGTAGGATGGGACAGATGACAAATATGGAGAGGTGACTGAACATACATACATTCCATCACTCCTAAACTCAATGCTAGCTATTACATTCTGCATAGGAAGGATCATAGCTTTTGCCGTCCTTTCTCCTGATATAATCATTTGGAGATGCTAGCTGCAATGAATGAAAACTAACCTAACCTAACACACTTTTGGTATGCATGTGTGCTAATACTCACATGTGTTTATAAATCTAAATTTTAGAACATTTACCTTCCTAATACGCTGCATGAAACTTTTCTTTGTGTTCCTTTTCTTCTCACTTGAGACACATTTCGCATTCCACAAGCTTCCCTTTTCTTCTGCATATTCACTGTCCTATGAATAGAAGAACCAATGGATGAATCTTCTGACTCCATTTGCACCAACCTCCTCACCTTGACATATCATACATTGGCACCTACTAACATCAATTTTTTTTCCTGCTTACTCCTTCAGGCTTAACCTTTCTTCTCATATCTTCAGTCTCCCTAGACCAGCTACTTTATCTCCTTACGAACAGGTCCTCTTTATTGTTTCATACACTACTAAGGCTTGTATTTGAGTATACTTTGCCCTTGTGACTCTATTTTCCTGTCAGTTCACTAATAGTCTAAAGTATCATTGTTTGCCTTTCGGTTCCTATCTACTTTTTACACTTATTAAACCCAAATTTGTTCCTTGTGCTTATCCATAGCATAAGGCCATGATATCTAGTTCTTGTCTGTCCATGAAATTATATACAAAAAGTCCAATAACTTGCCTTCTTGTGGAGTCAATTTTCGCTAGATCTGACAATTGGGCCACAATTACTAGAGTATGTTAGACCATTATGTTTTGCCCACAAATATTGCTTCAAATACACCCCTTAGTCATGAAACTAAGAATAAATATCCATCATGAAGTTATAGGATCTAAGCCAACCCTTTTCCTGACATCTTTTATGACATAAGCTACTGCGCAAATCCTTTTATCTCCCCTTATGGTTGTTTCTAGTTTTCTATTCCGATCCCTCACTTTTACTCCACTGACAATATTGATTTCAGTGTTGCCATGTGTCGCTTAAGAATTTTTTCCTCACTACATAAAACCTAGTTCATTTCCCCACCATAGTTTGATCTTATTTTTAGGTCTATAAACCATTAGTTTTGCTTGAAGCATTCAAATTCAGTGCATTACTACCAACACTATAGCCACCACAATCTGCCCCGTCACCATTAACACCATTGCTACTATGGCATGCCTGGAGTCCAAAATTAGCTTCTATGTCAAATCATATTC